GCTGGAAACAGCACAACTCTCAGCCTACGTGTCATCGGAGAAAACGACACTCGTAAAAGAACACCAGCTCCACATAGTTTCTTGAGTAATACAAGCGTGCTCTAATCATCATATGGACTAGAAGGTAGTATCGATGAAATGTGGCGTTGGTTTCCACTGAAAATAAGGCTGCCCTCTGCCTCCTGTAGGACGGTTATGTGTTGTATCTCTTCTCTAAACCAAGTTGGACGCGGAGTGCAATTGTAGCAGTAAAACGCAACACGATCGAATGTAAAAGGTATTTAAGTTGGGCGCTTAGCTTCATCTGAGCTCTTATGCAGAGTACTATCATGCTTCCAACAAGCTCCTTCTGCGAAGAACAGCACAACAACTGCCTGTTAACCATTAGGATCGAGATTCTTCTTCAAAGATAACGTCAAATTACATCATAGCTTCTGTAGATATCAGATTAAAGTGAGTTAAATGAGGGCGCATCCAAGATACCCTTGACCCCCCAGGAGTTAGGACGAGCCTACACTTCCCAGGGACTTTAGATAGCCTAATGACCGAGAAATATCTTGATCGAACAGGGACGTAGTATAATTCAAACCATCGCGGTGGTTGTGTGTAGACTTTAGTCTCCCACTCTCCTCGTACTTATCCCCATGCGCGCTGACCTAGCCACTTACTGGCTAAAGCAACGAACCCTCTTTTCACTTCTCTCACACTACTCACTTCACTGTAGTAGATAGGAGCTTATCAGAAGAATGATGCTAAGTGGTACTGAGCGCCAGAGGAGGAGAGAGTAAGCTAGCGTATGAAATAGGTGTACCGAACGCGCAGCTATGATGCGATTGTGAGATTTGGTGAGCCTGCTGAGAAGGCTTGTGTGACATGCAGAGGCTAGCTTAAGCGACTCTATATGCATTTTTGATTGTATGTAGTTCCCGTATTTTTGAGACAGAAAATCGCGCTTTCTTGTTTCATGCGAAATACGCCATGTGATATGAGTTTCAGGATTTAGATACTAAGTAAGCAACCTTACAAGCTCAAATGTGAATCCGGAGCTTTATGTAGGCATTGCATTAATCGATGTCGCGAAGTGCCTGTGAAACCAGAAATCATGAGCCGCCTCTTAACATGCTTATTTAAGTAAATGATAGTTACTTTTCCTATCTTCTCACTATCATTAATTGAAAGACACTGAATGCGACAGTGATGAAGTTACTGGAAGTATGAAATATCGCAAAGTACGTATAAGCAGTCTGACAGTATAAGCAGTGGTTGCGGGGTACCAAATTGGGACCTTGGTGTATTATCTCGGTTTCCGTCGGGCGGCCACTTAGTACCTAATCTTATCACCTATGGCACGCCTTTTAGCGTGTCCCCCCCCAGTTCTTTCTTTCCCGAAGACTACAGCCGTGGCGACAGCTTACCGCAGAATGATAGGGTTCCCCGACGCCACGGCCCCGCTATTCACTACCGTGATGACATCCCGTTCCTCTCTCTTGTGTTAGGCGAGCCTCGACCGCCTATTGTTTAGAGGCTCGTCATCTCCTCATCTCACTTCCCCCCCTTTCATGTCGTCAACCGTTTTCTCTTAGCTGACAACTCATTAGTATCCGCGCCATACACTCAGTCCGGTCTCGCGTGCGCCGTTATCCGTCGCTTCCATCCGCTGTAACTAAGTACTTAAGTATGATTTCAGCTCCAGCCCCCCAGCTGGTATCATGTCAGCCAACCAACGGTCTCGTCGCACGCCATCCTTCCTGTGGGGATGCTGAGATGCACTTCCCGATTCTCTGTGCCGTGGGATTCTCACCATCTGTAATACTGTAATCTACTAGCTCTTTGTGTAATCAATGCTATGAACCGGTGAAGTGTTGGGTCCGGGCATCCGAATTCCTCTCAAACGTCAGATGCCTTCTAATAAATATCTCATAACCTCCTCTTCTAACGTCGCTTTGTTATTATCTAATTGAAACATTTATCAATGATGATCGACTGTCTTTATCTCACGTCTCTTTCGAATTAAGATTTGAGCTTTCCCGGGTTGCGAGCCTGACTCGCACTTACATGCTGACCCCTCATTCACCTCGTTTGTCTTACACACATAGACAGTATCCATTCCACAATGGAGGATCGCCCGTTAAATTCAGAAACTCCATACTATGACATAGGTAAGCGAAATACATTTTTTCACATGAATCGAAGCTGACTTCTTCCCTAGTAATCGTGGGGGCAGGGCCAGTTGGCCTCATGTTGTCAACATGTCTAGCAAGACTCGGCTATAGGATTAAACATGTAGACAATCGGTCTGAACCCACGCCCACAGGGCGCGCCGACGGCATCCAGCCCCGATCCCTAGATTTATTGAGGAACATGGGGTTGAAATCAGCCATCATGAAGCATAAGCCCGCGAGAGTGTACGAAGTAGCCTTCTGGGATCCGGGTGAGTCGGGCAAAGGCGTCGTACGAACAGGTACCTGGGCCAGTTGCCCCGCGTTCATCGATGCGAGATATCCTTTCACAACTCTCTTGCACCAAGGCCTTATCGAGCGCGTCTTCATCTCAGACCTGGAAAAGAACAGTGTCAAAATCCAGCGGCCGTGGCGTATTACCGGTTTCAAGTCTGATGAGAAAGAGAACGCTGAGTATCCGGTTGAGGTCAGCCTTGAGCATATAGATGGGACGAGCAGGGAAACAGTTCGCGCTAAATATCTCTTCGGCGGTGAGGGCGCCCGGTCTTTCGTTCGAGAGCAACTAGGCATCGGCATCACGCATAAGGATCCCATAGCTCACGTATGGGGTGTCATGGACGGCGTGGTTAAGACGGATTTCCCCGATATCAGGGTTTGTCTATCCTCGCTTGGTGAATTCAGATGGCACTAACTTGACCAATCAGATGAAATGCACGATACATTCAGAGCACGGGTCGATTATGGTGATTCCTCGCGAAAACGACATGGTCCGGCTATACATCCAGCTAGCATCGTCCACGGACCCAGACTGGAACCCACGTAAGACGGCTACGCCTGAGGAAGTACAAGCCTCGGCAAAGAGGATACTTCAACCGTATTCTATTGAGTGGGAGAGGTTGGAGTGGTACTCTGTGTACCCAATCGGTCAGGGCATCTCGGATAAATACACCCTTGACCACCGAGTGTTCCTGGGGGGAGATGCATGTCACACACATAGCGTAAGCTTTTCTATTATACTGCATCATTCCTTTCCTCCTTCGTTACTCTTTCAGGTTGCTATTATTATGTTTCGATTTGGCATAGACGACCAATGAGAAGCAGCTGCTGACAACTTTGCAGCCTAAAGCTGGCCAAGGGATGAACACGGCATTCTTAGATGCTCAGAATCTGGCTTGGAAAATCCATGCAGTAGAGGCAGGGTTCGCCGAGCGCTCTCTTTTGAAGACGTACGAGCCTGAGCGGAAGGAGGTGGCAGAAAACCTACTCGCTTTCGACAATAAGTATGCCAAGCTGTTCTCAGAGCGCCCGCCGGCTGCTACAGAAGTCCAGGCAGCTTCGAGGCATACGAACGGCCATTCGGAAGACAACGAATTTATAAAAACTTTTAAAGAGGGATGCGAGTTCACAAGTGGCTACGGAGTGGCGTACGGGCCTAATGCGCTCAATTGGTCGCCTAGCCATCCGGCTCAGTCTCGTCTGATCCATCCCAAGGGCACCAAGCTGCGCACTGGACGTTTAATGGCCAACGCCGATGTCACAAGAGTAGTTGATGCCAACATCGTCCACCTAGAACAAGAGATCCCTTGGAATGGGTCATTCCGGATCTACATTTTTGCCGGCAAACCCTCAATAACTTCTAAGGCGCTAAAAGATCTCGCCTTCCAACTGGGCGGGAAGCGGTCGTTCTTCGGATCGTACCTACGCGCAGACGTCGATACCGTCTCCCATCACGAGAGATACAACCCGCACAGTTTATTCTTCACCATTTGTACGATATTCGCCGCGGCGCGGAGTGAGATCGAGATCTCACGGGACCTCCCGGGGCTGCTCAGCAGGTACAGAGACCTTGTCTACGCAGACGATAGATGGGATCGCCGGGTACCCAACGCAACGGCGGCGGCACATGCCAAGATGGGACTTGACGAGGAGAAGGGCGGCGTAGTTGTAGTGAGACCTGACGGCTACGTGGGCATTGTTACTAGCTTGGTGGAGGGTGGTGGGACTATCGATGCATTGAACGCGTACTTTAGTGCATTTTGCACGAAAAAGACGAGCGACAACAAAGCGCAGCTATGAGATGTTCATTGCATGCTATGAAGAATCACAGCGTATTAATGCCGACCGAGGATTTCAGCGCGTTGTTTTTTGTAAGTCAGAGAGATTATTGCTGGCTTTCCCGCACTGGCGTCGACCATAATCTATACCCATAGTTGACTACTTCTTAATACAATCATCACTAAAGTACTAGATTATTGCCATCACTTAATTCTCATCGTGGCCCATTGTGTGCTTCCAATAATAAATTAGGCCTTTACCGACGTGTCGAGATAATGAGTAGTGGCTTTGTTGGATATCCACGCCGTTATCGAACACTTTGTAAAGTTGCCGAGTTGCATCTACACGCCTCAAATTTTTGAGAGTTGCAATAACAATACGAACCTCTGGGCCCTCCGCAATAAATTCACAAGCAGCGCGCAATTTCTCTTACATGCTCGTTACGGGAAGCATTACTCCGTATATGCGTACTCTCTTTGATATCCGTAACTCTCCTTATCATCCACCTCAAAGCGCGAGAGTTCGTTTCTACCCCAAAGGCTACGTGCTAATTCACAGTGCGTACCCAAGTTGCTTTTTCCTCTTTTGTCAGTGGATTTGGCGACCGTCTCAGCTCCAATTTTCTAGCTACCCCAACGAGTCATGTTCCAGAATCTCGGGATACACACCACAGCTAAGACACTCCGGCCTTGCAAAAACTCTGCTAGCCTGCTCTTGTTATTGTAAGTTATGCCGGTCGCAATCCAACAAGGAGCCATAAGCAGTGGTCTCGTGGCCCAATGGCAAGGCGTCTGACTACGATTCGACTATCCACTGGATGGCGGGCGATCAGGAGATTGCAGGTTCGACCCCTGCCGGGATCAACAATGTGCTTATATTTTTTTCCAATTTTGTTTGCTTATTTTGCTGTATCTTTCGTTGATATGTCTTTATTTGTGTTTGTGTTGTGAGCAGCTCAATCCGCAGTGCACAATCACGTGATAGAGCAAAAAGGTGGGGCTTACCCCTTAAGGTACCTAGGTACTTCCAGCACTGCTGCATGCATTAACAGAAAGAAACCTTCTACATATTCATTATCGCATTTAAATGGTTCAGGTCGGTCTTTGACTATACAGCTCTGTTTTGCATCAGAATGCACCTTTTTGAGCATACATAGTCTACTATAATCACGCTACCTGTGCGATCCCGGACGTGCAAGCTGAAGCAAAGGCGTGCACTAGTATTCCATGGGAGCCTGCGCGCAATACAGGAGTTCACCTATGCCAGCCCCTGCGGAAACTGCAGCAACCCTCCGTATTTGTATTCATCATATGATCAGAATGTAAGCATGAAGCCTTGCTGCATAGGCTTCGAGTGAGAGATAAATGCAGCAATCCCGACTTCCGAGACATTGGCTGAACGCTGAAAAGAAGCGCTTGATGCCGAAGGACATGCCGTACATATAGACTGATTGACTCTCAGGAGACTGAAAGAGTTTACTCAATATTTAATCGAGACGTCATGCGCTCATAGATATTGAGTGATTCTTCAAGCCCTGTGCTCGGCCCTTGCCATGATCTCGTGCACGTAATTAGCCTCTTCTAGCTCTTGTGGTTGTGGTTGGTAGATGGGCTCGCAACCGAGCGAGTAAGTCTTCCGGGTAGCTCAAATTGAAAAAAATTCTAGTTATATATCGGATACTTATAATGCTTCAAGTATCCCTGAAATGTCCTATGTCTGATTGTGCTGGAGGTGTCTTGCCGCGCTAGAGTGGGTGTGTCAGCCAAACATAAACCGTTGAGCCCTATCGCGCATCAACGGCGTCGATTTTACGTGGCGTACCTACGTTGAAATTTCATTCCGCAATGTGTCTCCTCTGATAGTGGTATGAACCGCCCCTTTGGGTCACGATCTAAGGGTCCGAGCCTTCAAGTGGCAGGCCTACCTTACACTTCTTGCGGCCTTTAAAGCTAAAAGTTACGTACTTTTACGTGGCGAAACTTGTGATTGCGATTAAAAGATACGAGTCAATTCATGAAGATGATTACTCTGCGCTCTGTTTATCTCTTTTCCCATTGAGAGCTTTGCCCGGGTATCGATCCCTGGCGTTTTTTACTTAAGCCACAAGTTGCTTTCCTTCACGCGCCCGCTGGGCTTACACAGGCCACTTTAGTAGAGAGCCTTACTTGAACAAAATCTGTTTAGCAAATGAACTTGGGCACTTCACGCTACTTATCTTCGAATGCACAAATATCGGTAGTTAGACAAGTTCGCAGAGGCATAGCGATGATATTTCGATATTTGTGAGATTTAAATGAATGTTTATGGCTCCAAGAGCCGACTTTCTTCATCTATAAAGTCCTCCTAGGTATCGAGAACCACATGCAAAATGCATCCCAAGTTTTCTTTGACATCCTATATCCAGACTATTCATTGTGCCATTGAAGGAAAATCGATGATGGGGCTACAGTGCCCCTTTCTTACCCCCCCTAAACCACATGGACCGTAGATTGGATGACTGCTCTCAATCTATAATATATCGTGATTACTGCACTTGATCCTGCTCCTAACCGTGTATATTTTGGGGGGTTACCTATCTCTTCACTTTCTTACGCTCTAAATTGCTTCGGTCGAGACCTTCTTGACGCCTATTCACCTTCCAACTATGGGAAGTGAGCTTGGTCTTTACTGATGGCAGTCACGTATCATAAGTCACTTACGCTTTGTGTAGAGGTGGGTGGTTTCTAATGTGTGTCTCATTGCACGGCCCTGTATCGATCAAGATATTCTCGGCATATTCTATCGTCTTCGCAAAGCCAGCGGCAGTAACATCGAGTGGTTATAGTCGATCACCCATCCCTCCCAGTGACTGGCTGGAGTTTCAGTGCATCAAAGTAGATATCACGGTCATAAGCCCATCAAAATTCGGTAAGTTGCTCTTCATCGTCTCGTCCATTGGGGTATTTAATGTCATGTCTGACTCGGCCGCATTCTTAAATAGTCCTTTTCATTAAGACCGACTAGCAGCAGAAGGGCCCAGGGCTCCTACCCTCTTGGACCATACCTTGACACGATATCTGTGGAATAGCTCTGTGGCAGGCACCTCATGTGGCAGTTAATGCTTGGTTCCTGGTATTTCCCCAGAAATTTCCAGACAATAATTTAACCTCAACACTAATTCTTCGACATGCAGGCGGACAATATTGATCGCGTAAAATCCGCACTAAGAGAGCCTTCTAGATAGTCAGCCTTCAAACACTCGGTAAGCATCTCCGTTACGAGTTAAGATGACAAGAGATTACCAAATGTCCAGCGCCTTGATAAGGAGCTTGACACTCGGGGATATGGAAGTTTGATGTGGAAGCTGACAGTAGCTGGCCAGCCACCCCTGCTTAAGCGGTGCGGTATTTGTCCATGTCTCAAGTAGAGCACTCGGCAAGGCAACCTGGCGTAAAGACTGGTGATGAGTTATTTCCTGTGGGAGGAGTAGCTCTACAAGCAAGGCAGCAATATTGACATGCAGCCATCAGAGTGTTCGGTAGTTCATTCGGGCGTAGATTAATTGCCGGGAGGCGCGAGTGCTGCTGTAACTTCAACGTCAGCCGAATCCAGATCTTCTCTTTAAGGAAGCTTGAAGCTGAAAAGAGGTACATCGTCTTGCAGGCAGTCATCAGGCTTCTGGTCATCCTATTGCCTGTCTCCTACTTGATTGTAATCGTGTCATAAGATTATACATATCATGCCTACTCAGTCGAATGCCGAATTAATCCTTCCGCTACCAAGCTGCAGCCCGTATTTCTCCGCTGAATATATTCTTAATGTTCCTCTCGGCACTTTATTTCAACCAGTCGTTAGAGAGAGATGTAGGTAACAACATGTGTGGCGCGGGTTGGATAATAAGCCGGTTAAAGTCAGAGTTGGGGTCTAGCTCGCAGTGTTAATATCGGATCTACTTGGCTACCCCTTACCGAAGGCCACAAACCATCAATTACCTTGATGGATCACGAGCTGAGATAATCATCAATTTTAACCGTCTCGTCCAAATTGCTGCTCGATATGAATTCACGTCTCACATACATGGGCTGAATTCCGAGGCGAAACTCACGATATTGCGTAATATAGAGGTTTCCGACAGTCTGGATAAGGCTGTATGTAATTTATATAAACGTGCTTCTAGAAAGCTCAGCTATATATCTTTAGGGCTGAATTGTGTGAAGATCGGCAGCGGCTCTGAGCAGCTGTGACTTACATATAAAATCTATGTTGATGCCTGTGACGAGTCCATGAACGGCCCACGTTCAACTGAGGCTTCCCCGTACCACGTTGCAATGTATGTAACATTCCAAATAAATCCCAGCCCAATTCAGAAGTTGAAAACGGTCGTCTCATGATCTCGAATGCCCAAGGACGAACCCTTGTACCGTCATCGGAACTCTAGTAACGCAGCTTCCAGCTTCGTACGTTTACACACCACCTGGGGAGGGACCGGACGGCGATATGATGACCGGTAGGCTGCAGCTAGTCCCTTAGAATACGCTGAGCAATCTCGTATCTATTGGGTACCATCATTTTGTCCATCTGATCGTGGTATAGCTCGAGATGTGAAAGAGTACGGGAAAGACATGGGACCAGGGTACCGCAGGCTTCAGCAAAGTGAGGCGTCCCTGGGCGTAAGATATCCCTTTGCCCTGGGCACTAGGGCCACGAATATTGAAAGCCCGAATCAGGGGGGCAGTCGTATCTCCTCATCTGACAGGTTCTAGAATTCGAAGATGGTCACGAAACTGGGAAATTCCCGCTCCTGCTTGACATTGGTTTCCATGCTTAGCTCTGGCGGTGGCTTAGAAGGGATGGGTATAAGAACGCACGCAGTTCGCCCTGTCACATCATTAATGCAACAGAGCACATCCAACAATCCGAGACTCGGAAGCATTTCCTACGCAGATCCCTACTATTCTGGACTTTTTAGTCAGTCAAAAATCTTTCACGATGAAGGCCTGGTCAACGCTGGCTCTGTTTGCGAGCCTCTCCACCGCAGCCTCGGTTCTTGAGCGCCCACACACACTGAGCACAACGGTTTCCGTTCCTAAAGATGCCCCAGCCGACTTCCACACCGAGGTGATCCAGTTGCCTGCTGGTACGTCCATTCAGAAGTCGAAGCGCCGTGATACCTCGAGCAAGCCGAGAGACACCGTCGCTGCTAATGACTTCTTTGAGTGCGCAACCACTGTATGTAGTAACTCCCTTTATCTTCTCATATCAACGGGTTCCTCATACCCCTGGAACAATGATCAGTAGCAGCAATGGCTAACATTTAAGCAGGGCAACCCTCCGGCGTCCAGTGACTGCGAAGCTGTCATAAGCAACGTACAGGCCGCCGACCAGGGGATTGTGATCGCCCCTGGCGCATGCCTCCTCTTCCAGTTCAACACGTGCTGGGGTTTCTTCTGCTCGCTGTGCCAGAGGCTCGGTACTTCTACCGACTTCATCGGCAGCCAGTTGGAGACGGCCCAGACGCTCTGCGTAAGCGGGGGTGCGGCAGGTACTGTCGTCGGCGAAGATGCGCCGCAATGGGAGGCCGGATTTGTTCACTCTGGTGGTGTACTGCCTAATTACGCTGGCGATGTCTGCTAGAGGATATTCTGAGGCTGTATCATTGAAGTGATCTTGAACGAGCGGGGTGAGCAGGGATTGTACTATGAGTTCGCCAAGGGGTGGCGAAAGAAGATGTGGCGCATTTGATACTATTCAGAGATTAATAAGGCTGTGTTAAATGTATTTCTTCGTAAAATGCTATTACGCGACACTTTATGGCTTTTTCGTAAATACCTCTTATGTAAACTAGAAGTGCGTGCCCAAAAAGCGTGTAAGGTGACATCTAGTG